GTAATGACTATTAGTCATTTTTTCTTTCAATAAAAAATATTTTAATGCACCTACCTTACTATATATCTCTTTGGCTTGATTATAGGTCTGACTAATTGGTTCAATACACTTTTGGGACATGAGTGGTTGAACTGGACTAGTCATCCCTAATCCTCTTTGTTTAGCAAAGAGTCAACTTCAGACAACAGTTTGTCCTGGTACTCGGCGACACTTTCCCGCGAAATTTTGGCATGGCCGGTGTATAGAGCATCATCAGAGCTGTCATCCGCATAGCAATGAATGTTTTTTCCTGACAGCCTTAGCGAGAGACCTGAATGCACGGGTTCCAGAAGGAAGGCAAACTAGTTTCTCACCAATTCTGCCTATGTGCTTTGACTTTGCCTTAGCAATGACTCTTTTGAAGGACCTATAGGAGGAATTATACTTCCTTTTAGGGCGCTGGTATTTACATTTTGAGACGTTGATGCGTCAGCCCAGGTCCGGTAGCACTGCTGTTACTATTTTACAGGAGCGATTAAACCATGGCTGAGATTTGCCTCCGATGGGCAACACAAAACCACTTATCGAAACATTTGTTTAAATTAAGTAAACATTAATCAAATGCTTAAAACAGCATTATTTTTATATACCTACTCTAAGTTAATTCAAAAATTTTTATCTCTCAGTAATTAGCATCTTATAACAAAAAATCAAACAGCACATTTCTAAAGACAAAACTAGGAACGTTAACTTGTCACTGATTAATATACCTCGTTTATTATAAGCGTGATAACATAATTATCAAGTTTCACAAAAAATGGTTTTGTAGCGCTGATGCTGAAATATTGTTCAAATTTGTTAGACAACAAGGTTTACTAGTTATAATTTATTAAACAGAAAATTTGTGCGACATTTATTTGCTTATTTGTTGTCCTTTATTTATTGACGTCAAAAGTTATTTATTATTTATGCTTTCCTTTGCTGTTCGGTTGTACGAAAATTATGTTTAAAGAAGGTAAAAACTGACTTCAAACACAAAACTGAAAAAAAAAGTTCAATGCTAATAACGTTTAGCACCAGTACATCAAAAACAATAACTTTTTGTGTTTCTTAAGTATTGGTGTAATTGGTGCTAAAACATAGTATATAGAAGCACAGAATAAATAATAGTTCATAGAAGAGTTAAGGTCCCGATTTTAGAAGCTATTATTGTGAAAATTATTTTATTTTAAAGTTGGTTGTAAAAAAAGTTTTTTTAGGATGTCTTCTAAATAGTAATATTTCAAAAAAAAAATCTACTTTTTTTCTATCATTAGGGAATTCTTTTTCGCAATATTTATATGTCACCGCCCACGAATTAAGAATAAGAATTAAGCTTATTTATAAAAGAAGAGTAATTAAAATCGGTTCAGTCATTTTCGATAAATCGTCATTTGTCTGGTTATCGTTTTTGGAACTCAGTTAATAATTATTTACAAAAATGAAAATTAGTTAGTTAGAAATGATCGCAGGTTCTTTGATTCTTAAGAATCTCTAGGTCAACAATCCTCGTAACTCTTTAGGTTGTTAAGCGGCAATAATTCATTTTTGTGTTCAAATTCGAAGGTTGTCCATATTATAAGCTATAAAATCTCAGATTATCATTTTAAAGATTGATTAAGTAGTCTTTAGATATTAAATCGAGACCCAAGATTGAATGCCTTCAGGCAGGTAGGTATACAGCAGTTCAGGCATTGCTGCTTGACTTTCAAAATATGGAAGAAGGTAGTTCCTTCTCTGGCGGACTTCTGGACAGAAAAGGCATCCTAATATTTAATACCAATTTTTTTACTATTAATTTGTTTGTCATTTTATATTATAAAAAAAAATAGTTACCTCAACTCAAAACACTATTAATAAAATACGGTGGAGGTATATTAGGAACGTAACATAATTTAATATTTCATAACTTATTAGATAATTTGCTGTAAATTATTCATAAGCCAACGAGTTTCTATTTAGGGCAGGATAAAGAAAATTTCCATATACAAAAATCATATGCTGTTATTCAGTGTCGCAAAAACTCAAAAACGGCACGACCAATTTTGATAAAATTTTTGTGCATTTTTGAGTGGGTTATTGGATAGTTCAGATTTACGATTGGATTCGGTAGATAGCGCTGTTGTTGAGATCTAGAAATCACGGGTCGCTAGTAGCTTATAAGTAATACGCTTGCGAGTTAGAAAACTTCTATTTATAAAAGTGTGATAACGTAGAGCAACATGTTACAGTGGGTTAGCAAACTACACATTACCTCGAAATATTTCGTTGTTACGCAAGTTTATGCGTTTCACGTATTTTTAGACAAGACCGTACTCATAGTTAACTTTGGCAATTTCATGTTTTGCTATCTTATCAGCTGGTTAAGTTCACAGATGAACATGGGTATTTATTTAGTTGGAAGAATTTGGCTATAGCAATATCGTAGACTGACGCCTTTTTTATTTAAAAAAATTCATGTAACTTTATTACATGTGCCAGGATGTCCCACTCTTCCTTTGACACTGCTTTTCGCTGGAAGACTTATTATTTTACAGTTGTTATACACAAGACAGTTTAACCATCTAGCAGAGGCTAGAAGATCTTTCCGTACGTGTCATAGTCCCCTCTAACTCTCCTATATCGCTACTACTTGAAAATTAATTTTAGTGAAAATAATAAATTTAATTCATCAAACTATTTATCGAAATATTATACAAAAGAAAATAAAGAAAATTTACTAACATCAGTCGCGCTCAACACGCATTCGCGAGTGGGTTAAAAACAGTTACTCCGTGAATATGTCTGTAGAAACTGTGAATACACTAAAATGTTTGAATTGTAATATAGTTATATGTGAACTATTATCATTTGTCCGAAATAAGATCACAGTGATGGATAATGAAAATTTAATTAGGATTTGTGCTACTGCGTTTTCAGAGAAGGAGGTAGAATATTCGAAGGACTTGCTGTTTAGTTCGATAAAAAATATTCAGAAGAAAGTATCCAGGCGAAAACAAGGCAAAAAGCAAAGAAATTTAGAGGACATAGTATGTGTTTTTAAAGTGACTGAACCCGATCTTATGCCAGTCTTTGTGGCGCGTGACCGAATGCGAAAGTGTGTTCGTTTGTTTGTTTGTCCTTCTTTCACGTCGCAACAGAGCGTCGGCATGGCATGAATTTTGGTATGGGGATAGTTCGGTGGCTGTAGAGTGACATAGGCTACTTTTTTCAGCGGAAAAACATATCATTCCCACATTCGGACGACGGTACGATGGACGAACACAGAAGGTCAGAATATCTGGATTATTATGTCTTTTTACCAAAATTAAGATAAAAAATGTATGGATCTGTATTTTTCCACGCAGGACCGGGAAGAGAGCGATAAAAAACATAAAATTCACCAGCTGATTTTCTTCAAACGTTTTGGTGCATTGTAATTCACAGAATAGGCTATAACCTCGCAGACGATATTAAGTAATCCCTTGATGCTCTGCTTACCCCGCAATGGTTACAGGCGTGATTATAAGTATGGATCAGAAATACTATCACCACCTGTCACACATTCACCCTTAACTATTACTTAACTGTGGTAGAAACAGTTCTTAGTAAGCCTTATTAATAAGCCTTAGTAATATTTATTGAACGGAAATGAATACAGTTATTATATGTGATTATGAATGAATCGGTATTACAATAATAAAAATTGTGCAAAATTATAAGAAAAATATTTTTGTGAGTTCTTATTAACTAACGTATACATAGTTTAAATTGATTCCGGTAGATGTCGTTACTAGGTTTTTAAAACGCGGTAACAAAATGTTTCCTGACATTACTTAACTACTTTACTCCCGCCGTTGAGCCGCGCGTCAACCTACGGCCGGTCTCAATTTCATACAATCAGTTGTAAGTAGATAGCTATCGAAGGTAAACAGTTAAGTTTAAACTATCTGTTACTGTTATCTCAATAACGTAATGTTCGATAGCTTCCCCGAGGTAAAAGATAGATAGCTCATGATAACTTTGGTTAACGCGTCCCTCCTAAGCGTCTTGTTTTTCCTTCGATGTAAATTGCGTCACGTTTTGCAATAAAATATTATGATTTATTTAAAATATTATGGTTATTATAAAATGTTTAAAATTATTGTAGTTATTAGTTTTAATATAACATTGGCAATTATTCATCATACACATTTCTAAATTAAGGCTAGCATCAAATAATGACAAACTTTTATCTTAAAAAATGAAGCAACGAAACGCAACGCTTGGCGTTCGGCATTGACACTTTGGCACTTGCCTGACTTGACAGTTTGTGTTTTCAAACATCACATCAAACATCAAGAAGCTTTAAATTTTGTTTATGTGTAGCAGTATTTTACCAGCGATAAGCATTAATATGGCTCAATAAAATACTGTAAGTATTGTGATTTCTTTGCCGTGTTATTTACATTTATAGAAATGTAACAAACAAAGCTTGCATCTTTGTCTAAAATCCGCGCCAAGTGTAAGGCATCTATAAAATTTTGTTTCAGATGAAGGCCAGGGCCCTTGGAAAGGACGAAATACTCTTCCTGATTGACTTGATTTCCAAGCAAAAAGTAATTACTACCAAGGCAACGAATGCTACAAATAACAAATTAAAGGAAGAGGCTTGAAAATCCATAGCGCAGGAGTTTAGTGCGATGCGGGAGATACGCTGAACTACGCATAAAGTGGGAAAACTTAAAGAAGTCGGCAACGAAACGCAATGCATTGATAAGACAAAATAATTTAAAGGTTTGTAATAAGTACATACATCAAATATTTCGTAACATTTTGTGAGATATACCTAATCATCTTAGAACCCTAATATGTATTATTTCTATTTAAACATTTTTGTTTGCAGACCGGTGGTGGAAAAACGTACATCCCTCCCGATGAAGCACTGGACCGTGTAACATCTATGTTGGGTGCAACATGCACGGGGTTCACTGTGGAGTTTGGTTTTAACAAGGAAAAATAAAATGATGCCACCAGATGCGATTGTGGAACTCATTGATTTACAATCTTTGCCGGAGCATTCACAGACTATTAATAGTGATTTGGTGATGGGAGGTGGTGGTGGTGCTGAGTGTGGTGGTGATAGTGAGAAAATTTTTACACCAAAAATATTTATTTTTAATAATCCCTACAAACCCTGTAAGTTATATTTTACCTCAGTTGTTAGTCGCTACTAAACAAAACAGACCATTTCTATGGTCTAGTGGTGTGAATGTTTTTTGCATGTTTTTAACAACTTTGTGTTTTTTTTTTCTGGTTCATCAGGAAATCTTAAGGCTGATCACCCAATTGTTTGATGAACAAGCCAATGTGTGGAATAGGCATTTAGTACAGTTGGTTCTGTGTGATTTCTAATGTAGTTTGAATATTAGTAATTACCTATATGTTTTTTATGCCGTCTTCTATGCCTGATTTCTGTGGTCATCAGTCTACAGATCAAATCTATCAAACTAGGAGAGTATAAAATATGAGAATTTAACTATGTTTTTTATGTTCACAGTAAATAAACGTCAAAAGCCCTCTGAAGAACTACAACGGGCTCAGATAAGAAAGGAGTTAGCCATGGCTGCTTATTTTGAAGCCAAAACTGAAGTAGTTAAACTTGAAAAAATAAAACTACAATTAGAAATAGAAAAATTAAATGAGTAACCTGTGATTAATATAGTGCCAATGCTAATATTGTGTAAATAGTGACAATAAGGTGTGTTCTTTAATAACTTGTGTAATGTTTTTATGAGGTTTACTCTAAAATAAAATCTATTTTGTACATTGATTTTTTAAGCTTTTTTTAATAAAATAATTATTGAAATAAAGCATAATTACTCTAGTACAAATTGACATTATTTACACTTTAAAATTCTAATATTGTTAAACATAATTTACACACTAAAATTCTGATATAAACATTTACACACTTTGTGGAGAAATAATTATTAATTAGTTCAGCATAGCAAATTCATCCTAATATTGTTAAACATTATTTCTATTATTATCTATATATATCTATATTTGTAATGAATGTGTGAATACACTTAAAATTAACTTAATTCGGTTACATGTTATGTTTAAGTATTTTAAATTATATTATATCGTCTCTACATTCATATTTTTTTATGAAAATGGGGAGAATGTTGTAGATTCAAAAGGTTATTATCATAACAAATACGCAGCTATTGTCTATGGTTATACATAATATAAATAAATAAATGTATTATATATATATATATATATATATATATATATATATATATCATCATCATCATCACAGCCCTTCACAAGTCCACTGCTGAACATAGGCCTCCCCCAAGTAATGCCATAAAGCACGGTCCTGAGCCACCTGCATCCATCGACTTCCTGCATATCTTACCAGGTCGTCACTCCATCTAGTGGGGGGTCGCCCTACACTACGCCTACCGGTACGAGGCTGCCACTCGAGAACCTTTCTTCCCCATCGGTTATCGGTTCTTCGAGCTATATGGCCGGCCCATTGCCACTTCAGGTTACTAATCCGTTGTGCTATGTCGGTCACTCTGGTTCTACTGCGGATATCCTCATTTCTGAGTCTATCACGCAGAGAAACTCCGAGCATAGCCCTCTCCATAGCTCGCTGAGCGACCTTGAGCGTCCTCATACGGCCAGCAGTGAAGGACCACGTCTCTGATCCGTAAGTCATCACTGGCAACACGCACTGGTTGTACACTTTAGTTTTCAGAGATTGAGGTATACCTGACGAGAAGATGTGTCGTAATTTCCCGAACGCTGCCCAGCCGAGTTGAATCCGTCGATTGACCTCTCGGTCGAAGTTGGACTTACCTAGTCGGACTACTTGTCCCAGGTAAACGTACTCGTCAACAACTTCGAGCATAGTGCTCCCAACAACTACCGGCACAGGCGTGACATGGACATTAAACATGATCTTTGTTTTGTCCATGTTCATCTTAAGACCTATCCGTTGGGAGGCACTATTGAGGTCATTGAGCATAGTGCTTAAGTCCTCCAGCGATTCTGCCATAAGGACTATATCGTCGGCAAATCGAAGGTGAGTGATGTACTCGCCATTGATGTTAGTACCGTATTCTTTCCAGTCCAGTAGCTTGAAAACGTCTTCCAAAGCAGCGGTGAAGAGTTTCGGGGATATAACGTCACCCTGTCTTACACCTCTCTGCAGCTGGATAGGTTTCGAGCTCTGGTTCTGTACTCGGATAGCCATCGTAGCCCTACTGTACAAACACTTCAGCACTTCGATATACCGACAGTCAACTTGGCACCGCTAAAGGGACTGCAGCACCGCCCAAATTTCGACGGAATCAAAGGCTTTCTCATAGTCCACATACGCAAGGCAAAGTGGCAAATTGTACTCTTCAGTCTTCTGTACAATCTGCCGCAGGGTATGTATGTGGTCTATGGTACTGAAGCCTTTTCGGAAACCGGCTTGTTCGGGAGGCTGGAAGTCGTCGAGTCTGCGTGCGAGACGATTCGTAATGACTCTCGAAAACAGCACGTAGACGCGGCTCAGAAGGGAAATCGGTCTGCAGTTCTTCAAGAGAGCGTTGTCGCCTTTCTTAAAGAACAACACCACCGCACTTCTGCTCCACGCCTCTGGAGTAGTGCCACCATGGAGGACGGAATTGAAGAGCCTCTGAAGGACTTCAAGTACCGGTGTTCCACCCGCTTTCAGAAGCTCCGCTGTAATTCCATCCTCGCCTGGGGCCCCGCCGTTTTTAAGGTGCTGGAGAGCCATTCTAATCTCGCTTAGACTGATGTCCGGGATATCATCGGAATAGTGTCGGATAAGACTTGCTCTTGGATCGTTACTCACACTTGCGTGTGGCTCCAACGATGATGTGTACAGCTGCCCATAGAACCTCTCAATCTCACTCAAAATCTCAGGTGTCCCGGAAACGATGCTGCCACACTCAGTCTTCAGCCTTGACAGTTGGCTCTTATGGGCAGACAGATCTCTGGCAAAGACTTTGACTTTTTTTTCGCTTCTTTAATACGAGCAGTATTAAAGTTGCGTAAGTCTCGCCGCATGCATTTGGAGATCTGTCTGTTCAGTTGCCTGTATGCTGTCAAATCTGTTGACGATTGCAGCCTCATCTCCCGTCTAACAGCCATGAGATTAAGAGTGTGATCGGAGAGTTTTTGTGTTCTTCTGCGGCGGGTCTTGCAGAACTTAGCTCCAACCGCATGGACAGTTTCCACGAGCTTGTCATTCATATCGTCCACTGCATTGCAATCTTGTAGGCACTGTAAGCGGTTGTGTAACTCGAGCTGAAAGTTTTCGGGATTTTGGATTAGAGCACGAGGGGGACGGAGCGTTGACTTCATTAGACGAGACCTCTCCAACTTAACGTTTAGGTTCAATGTGCCTCTAACCATTCGGTGATCGCTGCCAGTTTTCACCCTTGCGATCACTGAGACATCACTGAACAGTTGGCGTCTGGTCGTCATAATGAAGTCAATCTCATTTTTTGTCGAACCGTCGGGGCTTGACCAGGTCTACTTCCTGTGGGGCCGCTTCTGGAAGAAAGAGTTTATCATAAAGAGTCCCTCTTTCTCCATAAAGTCGGCCAGCTGCTGGCCCCTTCGGTTCCGTTGCCCTACTCCAAATTTCCCTAACTTCAGCTCACCGTTTTCTCTTGTGCCTAGTTTTGCGTTGAAGTCTCCCATCAACACCGTGTAGTGGGTTTTGGAGGAATGCATGGCTTTGGAAATATCCTCATACATTTCCTCCACCTCCTCATCGGAATGTGCCGAGGTTGGTGCGTAAACCTGTATGAACTTCAGCGAATACCGTTTGGTGATTCTGAGTATCAGGTACGCGACCCTCGTCGACACACTCCCAATCTTTACAACGTTGTTGACGAGAGACTTGTGGACGATAAATCAGACACCTCCTTGGGACAGATGGTCGCCCTCCCGGTGATAGAACAAGTTGCCGGATTCGAGAATTACCGTCTCCTCCCCCTCTCTTCGGACCTCGGATAATCCTATAATACTCCAGCGCAACTTGTCTATCTCTTCTTCTAGCTCCAGGATCTTCTTGTCAGTCCTCAGCGTGCGTGCGTTAAATGTTGCCAGGTCGAGTCGTCGTAGGTGGCAACCGAATCTCCACCGGAGATTCTTAGCACCCCTGCCCCGCCGTTACCATGGTCGCCACCGTAGCCAGGAATAGCGGGGCCGCCGGGGACTGGGGGGCCGTCTATTTGTGTAATTGTTCATGGGGGGTATATTGCCATAGTTGCCACGCTTGGCGAGCGGGTTGGCAACCGCAGTTTTTTTTGTCGTACAGTTGCTGTTATCAGGAAGATGCTGCTGCCCATCTCCTGCCTGTCTCCCTCTGTCGCCTTTTACGACACCCACGGGAAGATATGGGGTAGTGGATATTCTTAACCGCCACTACACGGCATGTGTTATATATATATATATATATATATATATATATATATATATATATATATATATATATATATATATATATATATAATTCTGACTTTGATCCATGATGTTTTTAAACGAAAAAAAAGTAGCAAGAAGATGTTTTAAAAAGACATGAAGAAGATATTATAATTGGTAACTGTTTTTAACCTGTTGTCTTGATTATATTGATTAAAATAATTAACAAAGAAAAAGTATTTAATTGCAAATACTACATGCCTACCTATTGTTGACTGCATCTCAATTGTAATAAGGAAGCTAGAAGAAAATAACATGCCTCGTGAATATGCAATATTACTAGAACACTGCCTCACATCTGGCTATTTATTGTGGAAAGAGGAGTTCTACAAGCAAGTAGATGGTGTGGCGATGGGCTCACCTGTGTCTCCCATAGTCGCCGACATATTCATGGAGGACTTTGAGGAGAAAAGGACAAGCGATACGTAGACGACACTTTCACAATCTTACCATCTGACAAAGTAACTGCATTTTTAGACCACCTTAACTCCATAAACTCTAAAATACAATTCACAATGGAGTTAGAGGCAAAAAAATCTTTAGCCTTCCTAGATGTTTTAGTCATCCGAAATCCTGATAACAATATTGGTCATACTGTGTATATGAAAAAGACCCATACCAACCGATATCTAAATGGTGAATCTCACCATCATCCTTCACAGTTAGTTACTGTGGGTAAATTTTTTGTTTCAGAGAGCACGAGGGATCTATGACAGAAAACATTTGGCCGCCGAGCTTCATCATGTCAAACAAGTATTGCAAGACAATAAGCTTCGGGTCCCGCGCCTACGTCACAGTGAACGAGTGAAGCCGGCCACAGTCGAGCGCGTGCCTGCTGTACTACCGTATGTCAGAGGAGTCACAGACAAGATTGGCTACATCTTGAAGGGAGCTTCCATTAAAACATACTACAAGCCGCCGAAGAAGATTAGTCAATTTTTACCATCCATCAAATGTAACATTCCTCTGCAGGATGCAGGTGTGTACAAGCTAGATTGTGAATGTGGTCTCTCTTACATAGGTCAAACAAAAAGATCTATAAAAACCCGCGTGAAGGAACATATAGCTGACGTGAAGCACCGACGCTCCGCGAAGTCTGCGGTCTGTGAACATCTTCAAGATCGTCCCCACCATTACATTTGATTTGATAAACCACAAATCCTCGCAAAAGAACACCGATTCCTACCAAG